TTCATCGATCAGTTTTATTTTCTTTCCCAGAGAAAGGTTGTAGCTGGGGCCAAAAGCTGCAACAAGCATAGCTTTTTGCAACATCATTTAAAAGACACGGATTTGGCTGCAGGCATGTTGAGAGAATTACATGCGGTCACGCCATGTCTCAAGCATGTTCGAAGCATGCTTGCTTCGTACATATGTATGCTCTCGACATGACTGCAAACATTTTTCGCATGACCAGCCTGACCGTGATTCGATGAAGAAACACCTCATAGAGCGTCCGCGAACTGTTTATCGTACGATGGATTACAGGCGTAACAGCGGCTTTAGTGATTTTTTTTTTTTTTTGACGTCATGTGGTTTTTTTTTGTGGACCTAGTATGCGGACAGAAGCTGAGGGAGAGGAGGAGAGGAGATCGCGAGGCATCGTCAGAAAATCGATTTCTGGTTGGATGATTGGTTGGTAGACTCAAAGCTAGCTAGCTCGCATTTGTCTCCTGTATACTCCGAAAGCCTGGCAGTTCGGCGACGGAGCCATAGAGTGCCCAGTCGCAAATTCGGAGCGCGAGGATCTTGTAGCACAGAGCATCAAAAAGCCATTTTTCGGGAAGCCTGGACGTCAGCGCACAGCTTTTGCAGCGGCGAGGACCCCAAACACACTTGTTCGCTCGGGAAAAGTGTGTCTCGGCGTCTCGCCGCAGCGGGGCGCCAGTCGCGTGGCTCTCCTCTCATCCGTTTTGTGCCGCTCTACCTTTTCCATTCCGGCGGCGATTCCACAAAGAGTTGGGATCTAGAGCGCGAGCTCCGAAGGCGCACCTCTCATTTCAGGGTAACATTGACATCGAGACCCCAGTCTTCTCTGTGCGAAACGTGTCCGATGCCACCGAAAAGGAACGCTCAGTCTCTACGCTCCCACTCTGCCCGACCTGCCGACCGTGTCGGTGCCCCTCAGAATAAAAGCCCTCTTGCGGCACCTACGCCGTCTGCAAGTACTAGTGCAACACAGCCCTTTGCCACCTACCGCCCCCTTTCACGGTTGATGTACAAAGGCTACAAAAAGGGGCTAGACGTGGAGATCTGCCAGGCTTTGTCAGCATTGGCGAAGTCGCTGTAATCGGCCTTCTACGATTGGCCGAATGGTGACTATGACGTCAGCAAAGGTTTTCTCATCAACAGAAATAAGAGTAATCTAAGAACTTCAATTTTGACGGTGTTGGCAGTGCTGGCTTCACAGCGCAATGATCTTAAGCCTCTACCATGCTAATTATAAACACCGTCGAACTTGTTGTTCGTAAGGTAATGACGTCACGAGAGGAACCATAAGAGGGCGCCACCAAAACATCCCGCCGCTAATAGAGGAGGCTATGACAGTGGAGACAAAGGCGGCATTTGTCTACACTGCACTGTTCGATCCTGTTAGAACGCGGAACGCCAGCGGCGTCCAGCGTTTGACGTTCGCGTTCGAATGCGGTCGGCGAGTGCCGGGGAAACAAAGAAAGCTAGCTTCGCGCCTACTTACTGTACTCTGTTTCATACTTAGCGTGCAACGCTGTCAAAGTTACTGGCGCGAGCGCGTGGCTTCATCTACGGTTTTGTTCGCGCGAGAACGCGTGCAAATGATCAACGAGATCAAGCCCCATGCTCGCGCCAGTAGCTTTGACAGCGTTGCACACTAAGTATGAAACAGAGTATAATCATTCTAACCAAAGCTCGGCGTTCTACGTCCCCGCCACGCTGTGCTCTCCTCCTCTCTCTCACTTTCTGTCCGCATACACCTTTCCGAAAAATGGCTTCTGGCCGATGCCATTTTCAGCGTTCGCGCATATATATGACACGCATTTTGCTCGCTTTCCGAAAAGAATAGCGTGCGCGAGGTGTGCTGCGGAGATCGCGCTCTTGTCTGTGGATTTGTAAACATTGGAACGCTGTATACACAGTGGGCGAAGTCGGAAACCGTGTTCAGCTTTAGTGGTTGGAACGCTACGATTTTTTCTTTTCCTCGTCACATAGTTAAGCCTTCGTGTCAAGCGTCGTAGAGTAAAAGTCTAAAGAGGTGTGAAACGCACGGAGCTCTTTACGTTCAAAGTTTATCTTCCGCCTGCGCAGGAGCGCACGGTTGCAAGGGTAGAGCACTCCAAAAGGGCTTTGATGTCTGGTCAAACACAACGGACGAGTTTTGACAGGATATAGTTACCGACAAGGTGAGGACAGCCAGGAAGTGTTTTCGTTGTCGCGCCTTCAGTGCGAGCTTCCTCTGACCGGATATATATATATATATATATATATATAAAAGGTGTTTCACGAGAGGTGGCCAAATTCGATATTGAGAAAACGACCCATCGCAACGAAAAAAGGCTTGTGTCGTGTTGGTCCTGGGCCAGGGGCCTGTTTAGGAAAATGATTAAAATTTGCGATAATTCGTTTGGTAATTAATTTGCGTAATTAATATTTTTTAAATACTGGGCTAAAGCAGTCTTGCACATGTTACTAAAAAAAGTAATCGATTACAATTACTATTACTCTTGGCTAAAAAGTATTCGATTAGATTACTTGATTACTCAACAGCAAAAGTATTTGGACATTACTTTAATAAGTAATCGTTACTTTTCCAATTACTTTATTGTGTGAAGTCTTACATCTTTAGCGCTCATAACAATGAACTGCTTCCAACCTATATTTCACGTTTTCACAAGTATTGAAGAAGGAAAAACGGGTTCCCTCTACAGCATCAGCCATCTCTGTGCGCTGCATCATTAGATTATCGGTTTTTCTAGCTGCAAAATTTCTAGTAGTGCTGCAATCGCTATTTCACCCGAAACATCTCCACTGGTCCCTGATGAATAGAAACTTAGAGTGCTTCTTGGAATCTCTGGTTCCACAGAAATATATTTTTGTTTTCTTGCTCTTTATATTTTCTTGTACTGGCCACCGAGAGGCCCTTACTCTCTTTCGTACACACACGCGCTTCTCCACATATTGTTCACATGTGGATGAACTCGCATGTTATACAAAAGAGCAGCAGCTCCAGGATTTGAAACTGATCATGTGTAGTATCCATTAGCGGAAGAGATCGCCCCGACCACTTCCAACCTCGAAACCTTGCTTGCCACGAAGACCACGTCGGGGAAATACGGGGTCTTGACGTGTATATGAACTGACTTTGTTATATTTTGCATCCGCTTTAGGAATTCTTCGGTTTTGGTTCTCCTACGGGCTGCGAGTAGGTACCTTAAGCAGGATTGTTTTTGTTTATTTATGCGTGTGTGTGCGTGAGGGGGCTGGTTTGAATGAAGGGCTTACAAAGTTACATTCTGCTCCCTCAAACTTCGCCCTGAAACGCCTTTGTGACGCACTGGTCCTTGGGGCTTCCCACTCCCAGTCCAAGCTCGAAACAAAACTGACATTCCACAGAAACTGTGCATACAAAAGGGTTGATCTCGTTTCCTACAGCTTCGCAAATATCTTCTTTTTTTTTTTTCCGTTTCTAACAAGAACCAATTTTTTTTTCGTCATTTCAGAAAAAAAAGGTGTATGCGGGGGGGGAGGGGTTCCGTGGAAATATAGTAACGGTTAGAAGTAATTTAAATTACTCCAAAAAGTAATCAGATTACTCTTGTGATTACTGCCTAATAAAAGTAATCCACTGATTACAAAATTACTCCAAAAAGTAATCGATTACAAGTAATTTGGTTACTTGTAATGCGTACGGTACAAGTCTGGGCTTAAGGCAATGGTTTCAATTAAAAAATTGCTCAGCATCATCGATAAACACTAAATCAACAAATTGTAGAACGAAAGAAGGCACGCGCAGCATTTACGGCTTTCTGAAAAACCGCATATAATCGACGGGTTTTTAAGTTCCGGTTTGCAATCGGAGCGCTTATCGGCCCCGATGGCACCGCTCCCAGTGGAGAAATAGTGCAACCAACCTCTGCTGCGCTGTCCTCGCGCAACGCAGCAGAGGTTGGTTGCACTATTTCTCCAAGGTGTGTGGTGTCGTCGGTGCCGGGAAGCGGTCCGATTGCAAGCCGACACTTAAAAATCCATTAAATTTGTGCGGTTTTTTAGAAAAGCGTAAATGATGCGCGTGCCTACTATCGTTCTGCTATTTTTTGACTTTGTGTTTTTCGATGATGCTGAGCATTTTTCAAATTGAAACCATGCCCTTAAACCCCATGTTAAATAAGTTATTTACGCAAAAATAATTACCAATTGAATCATCCCAGACTTTAATAAATTTCCTGGCAGCCGGTCGCGCCCGGTTTCCTATGCTTTTTATGGGATACTTCTCCGTTCCTAAAGTCATATTAGGCTACATGTGTCGCATAGACGCTCTTCCGTCATGAACCCTATTTTTGTGCCTCAATTCAACGGCGGCAATAACATTTCTATGAACGCGTTGAAGCGCGGAGAGATATCTGGCGCAGTGTTCAAGTCAGCGTCCATTAAACGTCAGAGCAGGCGCTCCAAGCTGAAGAAGCGCTCACCTCACGCGGGTGCCATAAGAACGATACACTTTTTTTGTTGTTTCCCTTAGCTGCGCTGTTTAGACGGCGGAAACGCTGCAGGTTGATGCGGATCGAGCGCTCGCCAATAAGACGTTTTCTGTTCGATCGCGTCTCAGCGTTCGAACACATATAATTCTTACACCTTGGTCACTGGCAGAATTAGAACGGCAGGGCATCTCTTCGGGATCCCTAGACTATGCGATAGGGAGTAGACCTAAGGGGCTTTTGTGCATACCCACGGTTTGAACGCGCCTGAACGACAAATGCCGGCGTCCAGCACTCGAACGCGAGACACTGCGCGAGTAACAGACGACGGTTTTGTACCCTCCGATTGAATGCGAGACCGTGGGTAGGGACAAAGGCAGCTAGCCTTGGCGCCTACCCACAAAACCTTCCAGTCAAAGGTTCGCGTTCTTATATACGTCCTCACACGCCGTCAAAGCTCGGGTGTTTTGTTTTGCACTAAAGATGACATGTAAGCTACATATAGTCGACCTGCCGTCGCAGGTGTCAAGTCTGTTCCTCGACTGCCTCATCGAATACAAAGGGAGGAACGAGCGGGAGTCTCTTGTGGGCCTAAGCAGGGACTTCAAGCTGTACGATTCCAAGAGCGAGGAAAACTTGACCGCCCTTATCGCCACCCTGGACAGGGAATTACGACTGTTCCCGTTCGTCACTGTGACGGTCATGCCCGACACGTACAAGTTGATCATGACGCCTTCCAGCACCATACTCAAACGGTGAGCAACGCTCGTTGAGTCTTGGGCGATGAAGGAAAAGCCCTATAGAATCACTCGTGTTTACTGTAGGCCGAGGCTTATCTGTGTTGTACACGAACAATCGTGTTCGTTGTACACCGAAACATGTGTGTGCTGTATACGAACACTCGTGTTCGTTGTATAGAAACACTCGTGTTCGTTGCATAGAAACATTCGTGTTTGTTGTATAGAAACAGTTGTGTTCGTTGTATGTGAACACTTGAGTTTGCTGTATATTAAGATTTTTTGTGCTGTATATGGGCACTCCTGTTCCTTGAATAGAAACGCGCGTGATCGTTTTATACTAACACTTGTATTCGTTGTATACGAACACTTGACTTCACTCTAGAGAAGAACTTTGTTTACTGTACGCGGACACCCGACTTCGTTGTACAAAAACACTCGTGTTTCTTTGCATGCAAACACTCATATTCGTTGTGAATACGCTCTTGACTAAGTTGTATACGATCGCTGTCTAGACTGGTTACAAAGAAGTTAACGGGAAGCTGAAATCACTTACAGAAGTGTAGTAAGTTGGGCGAGTTGGTATGATGACATGATGAACAGAACAGCGCACACGAAGACAAGGACAGAGAAAAGGAACATGCGCTTGTGTGTCCTGCATGTTCCTTTTCTCTGTCCTTGTCTTTGTGTGCGCTGTTCTGTTCATCATGAAATCACTTACCCTATACGCTTTTTCGTTATATCTGAACTGCATAAACGTAACACTCAAAACAAAACAAAGATAACACGAGCCGTCACGGGCACTTGTTTGTCGTGCCTGCAGAAAGCGGTCTAGGCTTCCCTGCACGCGCTCTCTGCCAGAGCGGCACCGTCTCTCCCCAACTCCGAAAAGCTCCGATCCAAAGAAGAAGATCCTGTGAGCTACGTACGGCCCGTGTCGACAGCTGCGACGGGCCCGCGCGGAGGACGCCGGCGGTGGACGGCGTTCCTTACGTTTATGTGCACTTCGTCGAGGATGACGGCACGTTTTCGTTTCAAGGAGATAGCCTTCGTCTTCCCCGTTGAAGGGCCGGCGGAGCCGGAACTCGCCATCGTTGAGTGGTGATGAGTCGCCCAATCGGTCCTCGAACGAAGCTAGACTTTTACGCAGACAGTTCTAGCACACGCCGACACGGAACACTCGAAGCAAACAATGAAGCGCGCACGGCACCGAGTTCGCGCTCAAATTCGCGCTCAAGTTCGTGTTTCGTCGAAATAAAGTGCCTAGTTTTAAGAAAAAGGGCAACTGCACGATCGGGGTCATGTTATTTACGAGCCGCGTTTGCAAAACGAGCTGCAGCCTGCAAGGAACCCAAAGCAGTCGCCGCCTGCAAACGTGTCCGCCTCTCCGCCCAGTTTTCTCGCCACACTCGCTATGAGGCGATAAAATGCAGGCGTACTTACGCCTAGGAGGCGTCGGCCATTACATTGAAAATGCTTTCCGTGGTTGGAGTTGCCGTATCGGCACGTTGTCGCTAGCGCTCCGAACGCCCCTAGCGACACGCCACGACGGTTTCTCAAAGTGCGATGCGGAAAAGCCGCTTCCCAGATAAAAAGCGGGGAGCAGACGACGTAGGAGAGGCTGCCACCGGCGGCCTTTGCAAGGCACGTCTGCGGCCCGTTTTGGGTGGCTGCTCGGGCCGCTGCAGCTGAGTGCGGCGGTCTGCAACTTAATCAGCTCTCTGAATGCAATTTCTTTTTTTTTAAGTAGCAAAAAATTTATTTTTGCTATATTCGTGGTAGCCGCTAATTTTCCTTCACTAAAAAGACACAGAAGTATACCAAAAAAGTGAGAATGGGAATGAGGAATCGTGATCGCTTTGCTATCGCCTCTATTTCGTTATATACGGTCGTGACAGTACTTGTTTTTGTTGTACGCAAATACTCGAGTTCGCTATACACCAACAATTGTATTCGTTGTAATAAACAATTGAGTTCGTTTGATACGAAGAATTGTGTTCGTTCTATACAAACATTTGTGCCCGTTGTATCGAACACTGGTAGGCATAGTCTAGTTTGTTGCTACTGACCGCGGGTTTACGATGAGCTTCTGCAAACCTTTCTTAACGTGCGTTTCAAACTACAAAGTAGGATTATTAATTTTACTGAGACGATAAGAGCATTTTAATGCGAAAGCATTACCTGTCTCATGGAGCAAAGCCGGCGTTGCACATAAACGCGAAAAACGGCACCTAATTCCGTCTGTAGCACCGAAAAACGGCAGCTGAATTCCCATTGGCTCCGACACGTTATAGTTTCAAGGAACGCCACCTCAGAGAGAACCCCTTTCTGGCGCTGCGGCCCGCGCACCCGTAAAAGAGAGATGGTGGAGGGGGTGCGGCCGTGTAGGAAGCCTTCCTACACGTAAATTGTCTTAAGTGTGCTCTTGTAATTTTCTGAGCCTGTGCTGTGAGCACTACACTCAATTGTGGTGCCTAGTCAATACCACCTATTCGTTCGTTGTCTCACCACTCGTACTCATTCCAAAAAAAACACCCGTGAGCGGTCTAAGTACTCTCGTATTAGTAGCATTCGGAAGATGAATAACGAACAGAAACGTTGAAATTTAGGGAAAGAAGAGGTAGTATTTAATTTTCTCCTGAAAACAGGCACGCGTTGCAGCGCCAAACCGTATGTTTGACCATGCCACTGAAACACTATTTTCGCCACTAGAAAGTTTAGGGCAGGGCGTTCCCTCGGAAACGCAGCAACCGCTCTGCGAGGAATGGTTGAGCTACAGAGAGCAGCTGCTAGGTGGGCGTTTGAAAGACAAAAGAAAGAAAACGCGAAGAAACGGGCAGTTGGGGCAATTGAATGGCAGCTTCTTTGCATGTTTTCCTCCACGTCACTGATATTCCTAAACAAGCGTGCTGAGGCTGTCATATCCGGGTCAGCGAAAATTCCAACTCACTCGCGTCCCATTTTGCAAAGCGAGCGCATAGAATAGTCTGACATTTATTTCACGTCCGCCCTGCCAATGTCGACTGTCAGAAACTTCGGCTTTAGAACTTCCGTTAACGGTGACTCCCCCGGGATTGCAACATCAAGCTCTTTTTTTTTTTTTTTTTTCTTTAAGGAGAAACAGAGCGACGAGGAGAAACAGCGACGAGGAGAAACAGAGCGACGAGGAGGTTTCAGCGTGTGTCGACGTAAAATATGGATAGCTCTGATTCGAAGGATTCATATGTGTAGGTGCGAAGGCTAGCTGGCTCTGTCTCTATTCTTTGTTCCAACGCGTTCGAACGCCGAACGGCGGTGCCCCATAGAGTAATATAGTAAACGTAAAGAGAGGACACAGGAGCCGATTCGCGGCCCAGATAGTGCGTTTCATACCCTCCGCTACGTGGCGCTTTTCTGCAATTTGGTTAAAATTAATTAAAACTCTTTCTGTGAAAAGTATTTATTTTTTAATTGGCAATGCTTTAAAATTGTTTAAAGTACTTACAACGGCTAAATAGTTTAAATCATATACGTCACAAAAAGCACGTGATCAATGGCGCCTGCCATGGCCTTCCTGCCTGCACGCCGTCGCTTCTGCATCATTCTGCGTGGCCTTTGCTCGTCCCTGCGTCGTTCGTCTGTGCCGTGCGTGCCGTCCATCTGTGCTTTCTGCTGCATCATGTTCGGTCGACTTTGCATCAATCAAGGTGACGCATGACCGCCCGCGTGCTCGCATGCTCGGCTTGAATTCATGCAGCCGATCGGTTCGAGCTTCTCGTGCTGTTCTTTCTGCCGGGCTGTCTGGCTGCACTTGAACCTGTGTGCATGTTGATTTCCGATGAGATTGTTTTAAAAAAAGAATTTAACTTACGACCCAGCACACGACATTGTCCATGGGTTTACAGATGACGGTGTTGAACGAACCTCTAACATTGCAGATAGAGCCTCGGTTGTTATGCTGTCTGAAATTTCCAGGAGGTGCGTCTAGCCCCTTGCATACACTGTTGTGCACACTCCAACAACGTCTTCTGTTTAACGCAGTCTCCTCATTTCTCTCTTTCGGGAGCTTAAAGGGGCGGTGCAATGATATTCAATTGGAATGTGTTTCACTTTACACGAGCTTACTGCCACTAGTGGGAATCAAGGATACTCGCACGCAACGCCACTGACCAAGAAACTCCTTTGTTGCGCTATAATTTCGAGGACAAAACCGAGTGTTTTCAATTAATCTCTCCTTCGAAAAACCTGATGACGCAGCTGGGCGGTAGCAGTACCGCCCAGTTACGATATTTGAATACGGTTCATAGATTGGACCCGAGCATGGCGTGGACACTCGATTTGGACTCGTGATAATCGATAGCTCGAGAAACATTCGGGTAGTGTCCTGTGTCCAATCGCTGCAATGACGACAACAGCCGAACCATAACAATGTCTTGAACTCAGCGCGTGTCGTGTGCCTTGCCAACCCCAGCGCATGGCTATGATCAACATTGGCGGCATATAATCGGCTCCAGATCACGGGGCCGCTTGTTATGGCTTCGAGTTGAGGGGTGAACTCTGCTCGTTTTTCTTTATTTTTTTCTGCGACTTCGATTGCGTGTGGTGAAAACGAACGGGTATTTCACAGATCATTAACGTCAGGGATTCGTTCTAAGCGGTATTTGCGCAAAATAAAAATATCAGTGCATCGCCCCTTTAAGACTGTTGGCTTTACAGTAAAGGCTGTGGTCTGTGGTTAGGGGGCTTCAAACATCAGCTTGGTGTGTGTGGGGATAAGCCATTTCTTGAAGTTGACAACGAACACGTTTACTTTGTCTTTGATGTTAAACACCTTCACAAAACAACCAAGAGCAATCTCCAAGCCCACAAACTTTGCATTTGAAATGAGGTCATTGAGTGGTCTTCTTTATTGAACTTTATTGTTCTATCCATGAGATGAGCTTGCAATTGGCTCCGAAACTTATTGAGAGAAACATTTTTTCAAGGACCTTTTTGTAACATGGAAAAAAATTGTGCCCCACAGGTCTACTCTTTCTTGC